CAGAAATCTCTTCATACTCCGTATGAGGACATGAGGAAGGCTATACTGTGTGTGAAAATACACTTCCGCATCCACCTCTGTGGGTTAAGAAGGGGTTCCTGCGACAGCAAGCTGTTAGGTTATTGAGCAGGAGATTGGATACTTCTACTGTTCATCAATGTAGGTTTCCATGTAATATGAAAAAGAGCCTTTGCAAATTTCTAGAAATGCTGAATCAAGTCTAAGAAATACCTGGCTGCAAGAAAGTAAGGGAAGTCTGAAGGGTCAAAAATGGAGGGAGACCTCTGACCAGCTTGAGCTGTCCCGGGGGCTGCTGGGGATGGGGTCGGGGAGGGCAGTCGGCCAGGCTGGGAATGTGGTTTGGGAATGTTGATTCACTTTAGAACATACTAAATCAAGGAGCTTAGGCTTTCATGACCGGTAGGCACACACGAAGGGGCCTGGAAGAGTAGAGAGTTGGAACCGAGACCCCGGTGTAAAGATGAACACCTACTTACGCAGGGAGATGACAGGGAAGCTTGCCTGAGAAAAAGAAAAAAAAGCTCCCCTTAAAATTAATTTATAATCATTAATGTGCCCTCACATGGATATGATACTTAAATTTATATTACTAGAGTGGTCTAAGACATGTCCCACTAAGGAATCAATATAAAGTGCTTTCGCATGCTAGTAATACCCTTGGGAACCTTGTTGAAACAAAAATAAAACCTTTCTGGGAGACCATACACTCATCCTACGCCTCCTAGCTTATAACTAAAAACTACTGTACAGTCCTGGGCATGGTGGCTCATACCTGTAATCCCAGCACTGTGGGAAGCTGAGGTGGGTGAATCACCTGAGGTCAGCAGATCACCTGAGACCAGGAGTTCGAGACCAGCCTGGCCAACATGGTGAAATCCCATCTCTATTAAAAATACAAAACTTAGCCAGGCGTGGTGGCATCCAGCTAACGGGGAGGCTGAGACAGGAGAATCACTTGAACCCAGGAGGCAGAGGTTGCAGTGAGCCGAGATGGCGCCACTGCACTCCTGTCTGGGTGACAGAGCGATACTGTCTCAAAAACAAAACAAAAAAACAAAAAACAAAACCAACTACTATACACATGAAAAAACAATCCCCCCAAAACCAATAGTTTTAGTAAACAAAACAAAAAACAATATGAAACCTCCACCAACTTCAGATAAAATATAATTATCAGATAGATTAAAAATAAGCATGTTTAAAATGAGAAGTCATAAAAGAAGTACAATAATATTAAAGAACATAACAGAATCAGACATCATCAAAAAGACCAGATTGAGCTAAGTACTACATCAAATATAACGCAGAAATTTAAAAATTACCATTTGAAACTTACTATGTTAAACCCTAGATTATATATTATCAAATAAATAACTAATGAATGGAAAGAAAGCCTGTGCAGAGAGATAAAGACACAGAACATGCAGAGGGAGGGCTTCCTAACAAGGGGTGTGCATGGCTAAGGTCCAACCACATCTGTTAGATGTTCAAGACATAATAAATGAGGACTAATGAAAGCTATGAACCACAGCAGGGTAAATAACATAAAATCCTCTACTGGACACAACATAGTGTAACTCAAAGAAGACCAGCAGGGCCCAGTGGCTCACACCTATAATCCCAGCACTTTGGGAGGCTGAGGCAAGCAGATCACCTAAGGTCAGGAGTTTGAAAACAGCCTGGCCAACATGGAGAAACCCCATCTCTACTACAAATACAGAAAAAAAAATTAGCTGGGCATGGTGGTGCACGCCTCTAGTCCCAGCTACTTAGGAGGCTGAGGTACCAGAATCGCTTGAAACTGGGAGGCAGGGGTTTCAGTGAGCCGAGATCAAGCCACTGAACTTCATCATGGGCGATAGAGCGAGATGCTGTCTCAAGGAAAAAAAAAGAAAAAGAAAAAAAAAGATCAAGTTGAAAGGCCAAGATCTTAGAGGCTCTCAAAGACAAAAGCATTGCCTACAAAGAAATGATTTACCAGGTTGTCTGGAACTTTAGAACAGTAACAATAGAAGCCAGAAGACCAATGACATAATATATTCAAGTGTTGAGAAAAACTAACTTAACTTACATTACAGCTACACTATGATTCAAGGATATGGGCAAAATAAACACTTTCAGATGAAAAGGAGAGCATTTTCTATTCAAAGACCTTTGCTAAAAGAATTACTCAAGAATGTACTTCAGAAGGAATTGACCCAAGAAAGAATTAGTGAGATGTACAATATGAGATAAATTTTAACAAATATCTAATATGTAAAAAAAGATTACTTGGTGAGTAAAAAAAACAAAGTGGAATGAGGGTACTGGTCATAATAGTAGGTGAGATGGGCAGAGTTTGGGCATTTGGGCACTTTAGGGAAAAGGGTAGCAATATTAATTAACCCTAGAATTTATTAAATCAAGTATGCTATTAAAAATTATATAAAGATAATTATGTAAGAAGAGACACAGTATGCACGACTTCCAAACCAGTAGATAGAACACCACAGAATTTTATATATATATATATATATATATATATATATACACACACATATATATATATACACACATATATATATATATATATATATATTTTTTTTTTTTTTTAAATATACAGAGTCTCACTCTGTTGCCCAGGCTGGAGTGCAGTCGTATGAGCCTGGCTCACTGCAACCGCCATCTCCCAGGTTCAAGTGATTCTCCTGCCTCAGCCTCCCAAGTAGCTGGGACTATAGGGGCCTGTCACCATGCCTACCTAATTTTTGTATTTTTAGTAGAGATGGGGTTTCGCCATGTTGCCCACACCAGTCTTGAACTCGTGATCTCAACTGAACCACCTGCCTGGGCTTCCCAAAGTGCTGGGATTACAGGCATGAACTACTGCACCCAGACACCAAAACAATTTTGAAGATGAAGTTCAGCATGTGGGGACCCACTCACTCTCACCACACACCACAGCAAGACTTAATTAAATTGTAGTAATAAGAAAGTGCAATATTAGCACAAGAGAAGCAGAATAGAGTCTAGAAACAGGCCCACTCATACATAGAAATTTGTGTAAAGCACAGATGCCATTTTAAATCAGCAGGGAAAGAAGGCCTTTTAGCAAGCAGCATTGGAAAAATTGGTAATCCATATGGAAAAAATAAGTTAGATCAGTACATCAAACTATATTTAAATGGATTAAAGACCAACATACGAAAAAGCACAACTATAAAAGTTTTGGAAGAAAATGAAGGGGAATGTTTTTATTATCTCAGGGCAGGAAAAGACTTGTTAAATATAATACCAGAAGCCCAATCATAAACAAAAAGATCAATAAATTTGACCACATTAAAATATTTCAAAAAACTCTTCTGTAGATTAAAGATATCATAAACAAAATGGAACATACGAATCTTAAACTTGGAGAAGAGATTTGGCATGCATATAACCAATAAAGGATTTGGCCCAGATTTTATAAACAGCACTTATGGAAAAGGCCAAAGGATATGAATGCCAATCCTCAGAAAAGCTTATCCAATGTTCTTGAAACATATGTTATCAATATAACAAAAATTGCAAAAGGATCTAATGTTTCACACTCATTAGATAGGCAAAAATTTTTAAAAATCTGGGCACGGAGTCTTACACCTGTAATCCCAGCACCTTGGGAGGTCAATGTGGGAGGATCACTTGAGCCCAGGAGTTTGAGACCAGCCTGGGGAACATAATGAGACCCCATCTTTAAAAAAGAAATCTGATCATGCTAAGACCTGCTGAGAGGCATGTAAATGGGTATGTGCATTTTGGATAATAAGATGACAATATTTAACAATGCAGTGTGATTACTGAGCTAGAGTGTTGGGAGACTTTCGGCTCCCCTGAAACATTGTTTATAATCTAGAAAAACTGGAAAGAAGCATAAATGCCTAGGTATCAGTGACAAAGGACACATAGAAGGTCTCAAAAATGTTAGTACTGTTTTATTTCTCAAGAATAAATTGTATACAGTTGTGTTCAATTCTAATTTGGTGAGGCTTCTGGGGAAAAGGGACTCACACAAGCTGGTGGACTGTTAATTGGTACAACCACTTCCAAGGGCAGAGTAAAACTGGTGGTATGGTGATGCCACTCTTTTTAACCTCTTGGATTGACAAAGACAAGTTGGATTACAGTTTGTGTTGGTAAGAGTGTGGGGAAGCAGGTATTCTCATTGCAGATGGGAATATAGATTGAGGACACCTCCTTGCAGGTAATTTTGGCAATATTTAACAAAATTGGAAGCTCCCTTCACCTAACACAATTTCCTTGAGGTATTTATTCTAAGAAAATAAGCAATATTAGAGCAAGACTTATCTACACTGAAGTTTATCATAGCAATCCCAGCATTGTTTCTAATATTAGTAATACAAAAAGAAACAACCTTTATGTCTAACACTAATCAATTCTGATTTATGGTACAACTCAACAGTAGTCCAGTGATGCTGCTGGATTTTTTTTTTTTTTTTTAGAAGGAGTCTCTCTCTGGACTGCAATGGCAAGATCTTGGCTCATTGCAACCTCCACCTTCCGGGTTCAAGCGATTCTCCTGTCTCAGCCTCCCGAGTAGCTGGGATTACAGGTGCTTGCCACCATGCCCAGCTAATTTTTTTTTTATATATATTTTTAGTAGAGACAGGGTTTCACCATCTTGGCAAGGATGGTCTTGATCTCTTGACCTAGTGAACCGCCCGCCTCAGCCTCCCAAAGTGCTGGGATTACAGGCGTGCAGATTCTGGAGGAGAGTGAGGACTTGGGTTCACCAGTGACGTCCCCAAGGACAGGCTGGGCTTTTGGGGGAGCTGCCCACCCTCTCGGAATCGGGATTTTGGCCTCCGTAAAATGGGCAGGTCCCACTCGGATGGCCCTGTTCCCGGCTTCCTTTTGCGGGTCAACGGCGGCGTCACGCGCGCGAGCGCGGTCTGCAAAGCCCCCAGCGCGGGGCGTCACGCGGGGATTGTTGTCGCCGCCGCCAGCGGCAGCAGCGACGCGAACTAGGGGCGCCTGGCCTGGGCGCGCGGGGGCGGGGACGCGCGCGGCTGGGGGGTGGCGGCGTGGGGGACGGGGGCGGGGACGGGGGTGCCCCGGCCTGAGCGGGACGAGGAGGGTGCGCCACCCGCTTCCGCCGCCGCCGGGGAATCCCCCGGGCTGGCGCGCAGGGAAGTTCCCGAAGGCACCCGGCATAAAAGGGCGGCGGTTGCCAGCGCGCCCAAACCCGGCAGCCCCAGTTAGCGGCGCAGCGCTCCAGCCATGTCGCGCGGCCTCCAGCTTCTGCTCCTGAGCTGCGGTAGGGCCCGCGAGTGCCTGGCGCCCCCCGCCCCTCCACCACACCCCCTCCCACCGCTTGCTCACCACGCGCTCTGTCTTTCTCGCAGCCTACAGCCTGGCGCCCGCCACGCGGGAGGTGAAGGCGGCTTGCTCCGAGGATGTGGACTTGCCCTGCACCGCTCCCTGGGACCCGCAGGTTCCCTACACGGCCTCCTGGGTCAAGGTAGGTGTGGCGATGCCGCGGGCTGGGTGTGTGGGGGGCTCTTTTGAAGACAGCGGGAACCATTTCCCCGAGGCTGGCGACCCTCTGTGGCTGGGAGCTGGGTGGGGGTTCGTCTCCCGCAGCTGAACTTGGGCTTTGCAGTCTCCCGACGCGCCTCCCAGACCCAACTCGCATCCAGGTACAAGGCCGACTTAGGTTTTGCCCTCCGCGGACCTCACTCCGCTTCCTGTCCCAGAAGGTGGCCTGAGATGAATGATCCACTTAAGACGTTTTGGAAGAGCAGGGACTCTCTCATTTGGATTAATTCTGTAGGCCACCTGTGGTTCTGGGCCAGCAGGTCAGGAGGAAAGAAACGGGGACCTAGATTTGGCATCGGACAAAGGGAATGCCCTGATTTCTTGCGTTTTGTGACTGTGATGCCCATGAGATACAAGGGAAGGGGAGGGGGCCGTTTGAGGGGAAGGACTAAGACTCAGAAGTTACTTAGGCCATTTCGTCCGTGGTGGTTATCAGTGGTCATCCCGCTTGTGGGATACTCTCGGCCTCCTCCCCTAGCGCTGCTCCTCCTTCCTCTGGCAGCTGTGAGGGCGTCAGGTGGATGCATGAGCCATAGGCCACATGTATAACAACAGGCCTTGCTGCTCCTACTGTAAGACCACTGAGTGGCAAGGAGGCTTTTTAAAGGTTTGCTCTTGACTGGAACATTCTCATATTCTAAGACGGCAATTATGGTGCCACTCCAAAGCCAAGCAGCTACTGTTTGCTATCACTGCTCCTTCTTTAAGTCAGGCCGCTGCTACCTTCTTCTCTAAGTCAGGCCATTACACCTCCATTTTAACCCACATGAATATGATATTCCAACCACACTCTGGCTCTCACTGATTTGCTGTCTTACCGTGGGGCACATCTGTGCATCTGTTACTTTCCCCCAAATGCAGGACTTTCTTCTGCCCACCAGAAAAGATACTGTAAGAACCTGTACGTGTATCTGGCCACTTAACAGTACAAGGCATCATTGCAGTGATCTCTTTGTGTGTGTGTCTCCTAACTGGATTGTCAATTTTCTGGGGTACAGTGGCTGTATCGATACTTTTGTGTATTCTACATGGCACCTAATTTTTGCCCTATAAATTGCAAAGGTACTCTATGAATTCAGCCCAGCACTTCATGAGTTATGCACAACATTGATGGCGCTGCTGCCTCAGGGCATTGTATTGCGTATAAAAGTAAGGTATTAAGTAGTCCTACTTCATTTGTACCTTACTTACTGTGCGATCAGGGAACACAACAATTCTGAAATTGTTCTCATAGTCAAAACAATAGTATTTAAAAAATATTATTAAAACAATTTTTGAATGCTGACTACATGCCAAGCTCCAAGGTAAGTGCTGACATACATTGTCTATTCCCATCCATCGAAAGAATGGACTTAAGGGATTGGTACTATTACTATTCCTACTTTACAGGTGAGGAAACTGAGCCCTATGGTGGGAAGTAACCTGTTGCACAGCTGGCTACATGGTGGAGCTGGTATTTGAACCAGGGAGTCTGATTCAAAATCCTGAGTTGTTAGAAGTCTATCTTGCTATCTCTGTCTTCTCCCTTAGTAATTTAAGGTAAAGAAAATCAAAGTGCCAGGGGCTGATCAGGCTGGGACTTAGTTATCTTACAGAAGGGGGAAACATGAAACCACTATCCTTTCCAGAGAGTAATTATTTAATAAAGAAAGAAAACATTGTTAATATCCCCAGGGGAGTAATTAAAAAGTACTCGTGAAAGAGGTAGATGAAACTTCAGACGGTAAAGTTCAAACAGTTCTGGAGAGAAAGCTTCATGCACAGGGTCATTTGGAATGGTCCACTAAACCACAGCAATTAACCTTAGACTTCTCCTTGGATGTCAGCTGGTGATGTAACTCTGTAGCACATGAGCTTGTTTATTGGACACAGTTCTTGGAAGATTTCCCTTGAAGGTCTTTCAATACTCTGTCAAGAAAAAAAGGGACAGCAGTCTCTAGGCATTCTTTTTTACCTGTTGATCCATGGAATGGTGCCATTGAAAAGTCATACCATAGTTGTTTTTTGAGAAGTAAACAGTGATTGAAATTCATGGATAGGAGAATTATGCAACACCAATAAATGAATCAGGTGCCTGAAAGTGACATATAATGTTCCTTTAAGCATTTTTTTTAAAACAGGTCTCACCATATTCTATAGATATTTTTTATTTTCCAGCCCAATAATTATACTTTTGGATTTGTGCTTACACAACAAAAATGGAGAGTGTTCTGGAGATAAGACAAGTGGTGAATTCCCAAAATACTTCATTTTACAGAAAATTAAGCATCTTTTCATTTTCCTACAAGTTTCTTGTAAAGTGTTTCATCAGAGTGGAGAGGTAGCATACAGGGAGGAATTTCTTTCTGGTAACCAGAGCCAGCTTATCCCATCCCACCTCACTTCATCATCACTATCCTGGCTTTGTAAAACCTGTTTTGCCAGCACAGGAGTGGGCTTTGTGCTGGGCAAGGAAAGCAGAATCCCTCGCAGTGGGTTTTCACCGTCCTCCAGATTAAGGCACATTCTGCAGGCTGTCTGCATATCACAAGTGCGGGTTATAATGACTCACAATTTAAAATTCTGTTCACCACTCAAACCTCCGGCACCATGTAGCATCCTGTCTTTGTCCATTTGGCACTGACTACTTGTAATTAGCAAAAGGATCCATGTAAACCATGTGTTTTTTATCATGTGCCCTTGACCAGAAAACTCAAAGCAGACAGCATCCAATCTGTTTGCAACGTTAGGGTTGGGAAGGAAGAGTGTTCATTTTACTCTCCCTGTTTCAAAGATGCAGTGAGATGGGCCAGAGGGGACTTAATAGAGACATGCTCAGGAGGTTAAAGGTGAAGCCGAAAGTGGACAGAGATAGCCCAATTCCAGTCGGCCCAGCCCTTCTCTTCTGTGGACCCATGTCCTCCTAACTGGGATCCAACGAAAGGTCCTCCTCTCATCCCTTCCTCTCTTGTACTTTTTTTTTTTTTTTTTTTTTTTTTTTTGAGACAGAGTCTCACTTTGTCGCCAGGTGCCAGACTGGAGTGCAGTGGCGCAATCTCGGCTCACTACAACCTCTGGCTCCCGGGTTCAAGCAATTCTCCTGCCTCAGCCTCCTGAGTAGCTGGAACTACAGGCACGTGCCATCACACCCAGCTAATTTTTATATTTTTTAGTAGAGATGGGGTTTCATGATGTTGGCCAGGATGGTCTTGATCTCTTGGCCTCGTAATCTGCCCGCCTCGGCCTCTAAAAGTGCTGGAAGAATGGGTGATTGAGAAGAAATAGAAAAGTTAGTAAATTATATTCATTAGGATAGTAGCTCAATTTAGCTTAATTTTTATTTTTTGAGACAGAGGCTCACTCTGTTTCCCAAGCTGGAGTGCAGTGGCATGAAGACGGTTCACTGCAGCCTCAACTTCCTGGGCTCGAGCGATACTCCCACCCCAGCCTCCCAAGTAGCTGTGACTACAAGGGCATACCACCACACCTGGCTTATTTTTATGTTTCCAGTTTTTTGTAGAGACAAGATCTCACTACATAGCCCAGGCTGGTCTCCAACTCCTTAGCTCAAGCCATCTACCCACTTCGGCCTCCCAAAGTACTAGGATTACAGGCATGACCCAATCAATTTATGTTTTAAAATTGTAACAGCCTGGGTGTGGTGGCTCAGGGTCATGGAAGTAATCCTAGCACCTTGGGAGGCTGAGGTGGGAGGATCGCTTGAGCCCAGGAGTTTGAGACCAGCCTGGGCAATGTAGTGAGACTTGTCTCTACAAAAAAAAAAAAAAAAAAGAAAAGAAAAGTTGTAATTGACTGTGGTTCTTTGAGGAGGTATTTTGAGAAAATATGCATATAGACTTTGATCCGTGACTTTTCTTCCATTGGCCGTGGCCTGTGGTTAAATTCTGGCATAAGACATAAGAGGGCACAGCATAATATCATGCCTGCGAGGAGTGAGGCCGTGCATTAAAGGGCTGCGTCTGTACTTCATGAGAAGCATCACTGTGTCTGCACTCTCCTTAATGTAGGTTTGGAGAGAGAAGATGACTGGATGGAGTACTCTGGGCCTGGCTGATGTTATCTAAGGATGATAATGAGTGGTCATTTATCCCAGAAAGGCAGTACCTTCTTGTATCATGCTAGGAGCCCTGACAACCTACAGGTGATGCAAAGTGAAAGAGGATATATGGTGTCGCCTCTGGGTGATGCTGCGGGGGTGAGGACAGTGGAGCGTCACAAGACAAGTGGCCTTTTCAGATGATTTCCAAAGGAAGGGAGAAAAAGGAAGTAAGAGTGTGACTTCAGATAAAAGTCTACTATAAATAGACTTTAGAATATTGAGAAGAGCCCCAGCTGGGGCAGACCATGGGCCATCCATGGAGTGCTCTGCTTCTGACATTAACGCTAAGGAAACTGTTGGAGAGGAGGTTCGTGGCTTGCATGAGGCCACTTCAAAACTCAAGGCTGTCTTCCACGTATGTCACTAAACTTCTTTTTGGTGAGGTTATGTTTTCTGTCTCTACCATCTTGTGCGATCATGAGCTACAAAACCAGGGATACTGAGGAGAGCAGAGTGCCTTAGGAGGGCCTAGTGTGGAGAAGCGGTCGGGGCAGATGTCATCTGTACAGCCACAGACCCTCTTGACCCAAGGAAAGAGCCCGTGCTGAACGCTTCCTGTGCTTCCTTCATTCTAGAGTGAGTCTGTTGTAAGATGGATTTAAGAACATGTTTTAGGACAAAAAGGAAACATTTCTACATTAAATGTAGAGCCACTGAACTGTGAAAACAATGTATGTTAGAATTAAAACAAAAGTCATACTGTCAGCATTGATACCTATAGTACTTGGCCTGGTTCAATCATTTTTAGGGCTCCTCCCGAGGTCAAACCATGAAAGATATAAAGTTGCTTTTCAGATGTCTCTCATATGTACACTTTGATTGTT